GGGCCCACGGGGCGGACGAGCACGAGAGTCTGCTTCATCGAAGGCGAACACGCCAGCCAGCCTGGGGCGGAGGAGCTCCTGCCCCCCAGCCCGGCGGGCTCCGAACAGCCACAGCATGACACCTGTGGCCACCTCAAGTCTAAACCCCCTGCCCCCTGCCCCCCCCCACACACACTTGCTCCGGGCTGGACTACATCTCTGCTAACGGTGTTTCCCACATCCTGAGGCTCAGGTCCTGGGTCCTGCCAGCAGAGGATGAACAGGCTTGCTGTGGTGGAGGACTCTGGCCCTGTGCCCAGCAACCCATGCCGAGCGCTAGCAGGCCACTGGCCCGTGAGCAAAGCTGACGTTTTCGGGGACAGTATCAGCTAAGGCCAAGGGACCTGGCGGAGCCCCAGTGCGCAGTTTCTCTGGTCCGTACACATGACTGCCGGCCGGCGGGGCCTCTCAAGACGAACGCTTTGAGGTCTCTAACCACTGAGAGCCCTTTGGGGAGAGGGAAAGGTGCGTGAGAACGTTTCTATGCTCCAGTGCTCAGAGAACAAAAGCCCGTGAGCCCAGATGGTCGTGGAGGGCTCTGTTACACAGCAGCACGGATGGGACTCTGGGAGCGGGAACCAGCTGGCTCATAAGAAATGTAAGCAGGTTGGTATGGCCATACCACTGGCTTTGCAACCAGAGCGGCTCCTGAAAGGTCAAAGTGTAAAGCACAAGAGGGGTAAAGGGCTGAGGGCATGACAATTTCCATGCATCAGGATGTCAGTGGCTCATTCACACGATGAGGCGTCCTCAGAAGCAGACAGACCCAAACAGAATTGCTGAAGTAAACACAGTCCCAGACCGACCTGAGGTCAAATCAGTGTTCTCGGCCAATGCCGTAGATTGAGTTAGGGCTCTTAAAATTTTGTTCAGAGCCTTGGCTGATGTGGTTCACTGGACTGAGCACCAGCCTGCAAACCAAAGAGACACCAGTTCGATTCCCAGTCAGGGCACATGCCTAGGTTGTGGGTCAGGTCCCCAGTAGGGGGCGTGCAAGAGGCAACCACACATGGATGTTTCTCTCCCTTTCTCCCTTCCTTCCCTTCTCTAAATATAAATAACATCTTTAAAAAAATTTTTGTTAAGAGGGCAGACTTGTCTTAAGTTATGTTCTAACCACAAGACAAAACAGCCCCCTTCCAAAATGAAAAACCCCAAAGGGACACGGGGAAACTTTGGGAGGTGATGGCTAAGTTTTACCCCTGGGTCGAGGTGAGGGTGACACAATCGAACGTGTGTGTCCATACGTGAACCATGTGCAGATTTTGTAGAATTACACCTCAAGAAAACCAGGGGCAAAAAGCAACCTCCCTGCAGGTTTTGCACAGGGAGTCTCCAAATTTCCAGGGCAGAGATCACCGAGATTGTGAGGGAAACACTCCTGTCCCCTCAGCAGAGCAAACACGAGCAAGAACAAGGGAGCGGGTGAGGGTGGCCAGGAGGCGGCAACGGCGCAGCCGGTGAGGAAGACGCAACAAGGATTCTGGACCCCAAGTAATAAAGGATGATAATGTTAGCAAGACATTTTGTGTAAGGCAAGAAAACCCTACAGAAGAAGCAATGTGGGGGCAGCCGAGACACCGCCCCGGTCAAGTCCAAGGGCCCAGGCCTGGGTCCCTGCCCTGAGTCACCTGCCAGTTCAAGTCCCGTAACTCGCTGTTTCCATGTGTCAAGCGTCAGAACGAATGACCAAGGACCCTGTCCTTTCCAGATTCTCTAATCTCGTGGAAGCAATTTAGGAAATAGTTTCGTACGAGGGTAGCCATTACCCAGAAAGTCTTATAACTGCCTTTTCTCTTATCCTCCTTTTATAAGAGGCAGTAACTCAAACTAACCAGGGTGTGTGTGTGTGTGTGTGTGTGTGTGTGTGTGTGTGTGTGTCTTTGGTTGGATTTTTTTTTAAGGACCATTTAGGAGATTCTGGAATCAAGTCATCCTAACACTAAGCAAAGAAGAAGAGTACACAATGCATACGCCAAAAGGCCTCCAGAGCACTTCAGCACTTCTCCGTGGCAGAAATGACCTCCGGGCACAGAACAGGGCCCGTGAAAAGGTACTCGGAGCAAGACAGCCCTGGCCAACCAGTGGAATGACACGGACGGCAGCTCTTCCCAATGCCACCTCCCAGGTGGGACTCGATTTCTCACTGGGGCAGTATTGCCCCTGAAGGGAAAATCTGGTTTTGGCGGGGAGAGAGAAACTATTACTCTTTTAACGTGTGATGCACAGATATACACGCAATACCTAGGTGGGTAGTAGTTATCTGTGGTATTAAAGTCTCACAGGGGTTCACAGCAACTGTATTGCCAATAGCTAAAAGATGGAAACAGCTCGAATGTCCTTTAACAGCTGAATGGGTAAAGTGTGGCCTTTCCACACGATGGAGTATTATGCAGCCATGAAAAGGGATGAAGTATATCAGTTGATACATGCTCTGACGTGGCTGGACTTGGACAACATGATGCTCAGTGATGGAAGCCAGACACACAAAAGACACATACTACGTGGTCCCCTTGTACATGCAATGTCTAAAATAGGGACACCCCTGAAAACAGAAGGGACACTGGGGCTGAGGGAGGGAGGGAGACACGGGGCATTTCTGCTCCATGGGCATGGTTTGCCTCTGGGGTGAGAACGTGTTTTATCACTCTGTGGCGGGGGAGGCCGCGCAGCCCTCGGGTGTATGAAATGCCACTGGTTTATACATTTTAAAATGGTTCATTTTACATTACACGAATTTCACCTCAATTGAACAAAAGGTCGAGCAATTTCCTGGGGGAAGAGGCTCAGGAAAACGGTTGTCTACAAGAATGGTCCCAGGGTAGGGGCGGGGGGCACCCCTGGAAGAAAGGCTGGGAAAGCTGGGGTGGGGTGCGGCGCTGTGGGGAAAGCCGCAGACGCCTGGACGGAGAACGCCACCACACAGTGCTGGGAGAGGACCGGAGAGCTCTGAGACCTTGCGACGAGAGTGGCTGGGCACAGGAAGGTCAGGAACCCATTCAAAGTGACCTCTGACTTCCCCCAAATCCAACCACCTGAAGAAGAAAGTCTGTGAGGGATCCTGCCATTTTGGGAGAAGCGGAAGGGACATCTAACCAGGCGACGATTCTGTAATGCAGACTGTCCCGCTGGTCCCCCCCCAAACCTCCTTCCTTTACTCTGAACTTTAAAAAAGATCTTATTTTCAGAGAGAGGAGAAAGAGAGGGAGAGAAACATCAATGTGTGCTTGCCCCTCACGTGCCCCCTACTGGGGACCTGGCCCATAACCCAGGCGTGTGCCCTGACTGGGACTTGAACCGGCAACCCCTTAGCTCACGGGCCGACACGCAATCCATGAGCCACACCAGCCAGGTCCCTGTGGACCTCTTTTTCTAAGTTCACTAAACAACTTGCTTTAGCCCTTTCCATTCCCCAGCCAAGGTGACATCATCGTGCTCAGATATTTTTGCACAGCCAAACAGGAAGTGGAACTTCCTATGGAAACTTGAAACTGTGAAACAACAAAATGCCCTGGAAAGAAAGGAGAAGCTCTGGGATGCAACCTAGACTCCATGGTGTGTCCGCCGAGCCGCCAGGAGGCCGGGCGATGCCCGTGGCAGGCCGGGGGGCTGGAGAGCCTGTTTGTGGGCTGGACCTGGTAACACTGTCATGTACGTGTGCAAGGTGAACCCCCTGTACTGCAGCTGGTCTTGGGAAGCAGTGGAGAAGGGGCAGAACGGGGCGTGAGGGCTGCTCTTTGCCGCTGACAGTTGGGTGGGATGAGAGATGAACTAGGCAAAAACGAACTGAAACGAAGAGAAGCCACCCCAGCTCCCGATGCTGAAAAAGGCAACGCGTGGGTGCACCCACAGTAAGGGGTGGGGGTGGGAACTCACTCGGCTCTGCCTTGCGTTGGGCTAAGGTGGCCACCATGAGGGCAGGGGGGAGAGAGAGAGGCATGGGCTGCGGGCAGGAGGGGGGAATCCAGTAGACTGGGAAGGTCTGGACTATCAGTCAGACGACTGATAACACACAGAGGGGTTAGCAGCCTGCCAAGTTTCCAAGGGCATCATCGCCAGGGGACGACCTCAAGCTTGTTGTGTGAAGTCCCAGACTGGCCCCCAGAACCCGCACCTGGCTGGACGGGGCTATGAGTTACACAGCCACCAGGGAGGGGCACCCCAACACCCACCTGCGATGTCACTGGGGAAGACGTGTCCCAGAGGGCAGGACCGGGCGTGGGGGCACTGAGGAGGAGGGACGTCTCCCAGACAGCATGGTCTCCACCCCTCCCCCGTGCCGCTCCCACAGCTCTGGGCTTCATGACACCCCCCACCCCCAGCAGCCCCTCGTCACTGCGGGAGCCCAGGGGTTTGGGTGTGTGGGTGCAGACACAGTGGAGGCCCAAACTTCATTTCCTCCTGGGCACACAGGCCGCTGGCCAGCCTCCTCTCCTTCCCTCCCGCACCATCTGTTGCAGAGACCAGGGATTGAAGACAGCTCAACCAGTGAGAACCCCCACTGCCCGGACACCACGCTGTGGCAGAAGGCAGTGACAGGAGCAGTGTTTGTAGCCAGAGTCCGCCCGCCTCCCCCGACCCTCCCCGGCCAGGAATCAGGGCGCGTCTGGCCCCAGGAAGAGCACACCTGTGCAGGAGACAGGGGCAGCAGCTGCCCACCATGGACTCCTTCTTCCTCCCCAGCCTCCCCCTGGGAATATGAGTGGAAGTGCTAAGGGCCACTGCAGCCTCGGCTCACAGGGCCCCCTCACACACGTGCTCCCAGGCTCAACGCCCCCCCCCCCCAGGTTGGACAGAGACGGCCCCAGGGTGCTCCTGAAAGCCACACACTGAAGACAGCAGGCTCCCCCTCTCGCCGCCTCCCACCCGGAGTTGTGAATGACGGCCCCAGGGCCGCTGTGCCCGCCCACTCCCCCACCCAGTGTTACTGCCGCAAGAAAGTTCTCGTGTTCAGGCCATTGTATTTTTTGGGGGATCTATTTATTACAGAACTATCATTACCCTAATACAGTCATTGCTAAATGGCCATAATACATTTATGCGATAATTGCACATTTTAATCACCAAAGGAATGTCCTTTTCTCTTGATTCTAAGTTTTCAGAAGTGAAAGGTTAGAAGGTAAAGTTGCTGCAAGGCGAAAGGTAAAAACATTGCGAGGTAGTCGGTAGTGTGGCTGTCGAACGCCAGGTCCCCCCTATGCACGAGCAGAGTGCGCAGCTCCCCATCGGGAGGGCGGGATGCCAGGCAAGCCCCGCCCCCGGGCTGGGGCCAGCAGATGGCGGCTGGCGGGCCGCGTCCCACCTTCGGCCTGCTTCTGTGCAGCCCTCGGGCTCAGATTGTAGTTTCGTGTGTTTTTAAAAACAGAGAAGAGTGTGTGACAGACTGTGTGCAGTCCCAGTATTCACTACCTGGCCCTGCCTTGTAGAGCTGCTGTGAGGGCCGTCCACATCTGGCCGGTGCCTGGCTCCAAGCAAGCAAGCGGTACAAAGTAACACATGCAATACAGCTACTAACGTCTCCAAAAATACACGGCCACAGGGCTGACCTCCTCCCTCCCTCACGGTGGGCAGTCTCCCCTCCCCTCCCAGAAACAAAAGACAGACATCTCGATTTTCACGGTCACGGGACACTGAAGATACTGTTGAATGAAAAAGTTGCTGGTGGTTCAATTTCACATATGTGGAATAAGAAGTGAGACAAAAAAAGTATTTCCCTTCACAGCAAAGGGACTTGATGGTGGCAGGAGACAGCCTAACACAGGGACGCGCGACTCGACGTGATACATTAGGGAAGACCGAGACATCGGACGTTTTAAAATTAAAGACGAGGCGTTAAGCAGATGTGGGGAAACGTTAAGCTGATTGAGCGACAGCGTTCGGCGTGGGGTTTTGCAGTCAAACAATTCTGCGGGGTGAATGCACTTACAGTGGAGATCTACAGTAGGGTCAGGCAGAGAGACAGCATAAAGGCGGCCTTTCACAGTCCAAGCGGATGGATAACACTCTCAGCCGAGACGCTGCGCCCCCCCACGGGGCTGACGCGGAGGTGGTCTCGAATCGGGCGTGGCTGGTGGGCTGGATGGCCTCTCACCGAGACGGTGCCTCCCGAAGGCGCCGGCACGCACTGGGCCCAGGGACGCGGCGTGCGTGCGTGCGTGGGAGGGGCGTCCCAGGGTCGAAGTCGTCAGGAAAGTGGGACGCACTGCAGGCTCCAGAACAGTCACGTGGTCCAACAGCACGTCACAGGCCCCGAGGAACACTGCGGCGCAGGAGACTGGTGACTCCACCGGACCTTCTGGACGGGGCTGCAGGGCGCGCAGATGTCAGGGCGACGCCCACTACACTCCGGGGCTTCCCTCGGAGCCTCTGCCACTCTCGTTTCACAAACGCAGACTTTGACAAAATCGAAAAGCTGAAGAAGTCTTTGCATTATATGCAGATACTCTCAAGATTACTAGCGAGCTTATAAAATTTCGCATTTGGCAGGAAAATCATAGATGAAAGGTACCCTGTGCGCTCACCAATGTTAAGAAAAATTTCAGCAGGGCCAACTTTTGCATATTTTGATCAGAAGAGGAGTGAGAGACATTCTGCTGCCTGTCGCGGTGGGTCTTTCTGTTCTGCAAGGAAACGGGCCGTTTCCGCGGCCTGTCTAGCGAAGTCCCACTCGCTAACATGGTACCAAAGAAGATCTTGGCATTCGTTGGAAGAGAAAAGAAGTTACTACATCCAAATATTTAATATTTTAACATTGCGAAAGTTCTACTTTTATAACAGGGCTTTTTAAAGTGGAGAAAACTTTGGAAAAATTTTAAAAAGAAACTTACGATTTATTAGAGTACAGGTTCCAAAACACGTTTTTTAGAAAAATATAAAGTGCCCAAGTACCAGCTGACACAGGTGCCCGAGGCCTCCTGGAGCCAAGAGAAGCATTCACAAGAAAACAGGTAAGAACAGTCTAGACACATATTTACAGGGGAAACCATCTTTCTGGGCTTTGACGTCCCTCTGCGGACAAAGGAAACCCACCGGAAATGCGACCGTCACAGTTCCCAGCGTGCCGCACGGTTTCTTAGTGTTGCGTCGCACAAGCGTTCGCTCCGCACTTCCTACTTTCCACCTTCCAACGAGAGTAGTGTGAAGCCCCAGCCTCGAGCGGGCCGGGCGCTGTGAGTGGTCACAGTGTCAAAGGCAAGTCCGAACTGTCTAGATTTGACGGGGGACACGGACACTGGACGACAGAGAGTTCAGGTGGAGGGAACTGGCTGGTCGAATCTCCCTCTCTCGCCAATGACTGCTTAACTCAGCTGTCGACTGCTATCAAGTGCCCACTGTGGCCCCCAAACCTCTGTCATCCTTGGGTTTCAAACAGAATCAACAAGTGGCAGTCGTCAGACGGGGTGAGGACACACTGCGTGCAAACGAACACCGGCAGTGAGGGGAGGCTGGACCCCCGTCCCCTGGGGCCCCACTCGCTAGATCGACTGGGTTCTTTCCACCTGGGAGAGGGAGTTCGGAGGCCCTGACTCCAGGCCCACCGGGTCGTCTGGCTGGAGACCTGGCTGGCCGGAGTGGCTGCGCGGATTTGGGACCTTCCACGCCGTTACTAAGAGCACAGAAGAGAAGCCACTGCGGTCTGAGTAGGAAGTGGGGCGGCCCCGCGGGGCCGAGAACAGCTGCGTGCTGACGGCTTTGCAGCCGCGGCGACTGGAGAGCGCAGGTTCCATCTGTTTCCTTGCCCACGGACCAAAGACTCTTCAACTGAAAGACGGTTCATGTATTTCTACCCTAACACATTCAAAAAGGTTTGGCGGTGAGTCGTGGGGGCGTGAAGCCTCCTCTTTTCTTTTTTTTTTTTTTTTCATTTTTTAAGTTCATTATTTTTTTTTCCTGCTTACAAAAGCGAAATCTCATTTTTGGGTCTTTGGAGACTGCGCAGGAAAATCTCTAAAAGCAGACATTTTAACATCAGATTGCACCTCCTACTGTAAAGAGAACCCATCACCGATTTAAGTCTACTTACGATACTGAATAGTTAAAAATTTTCTTAAAAAGTACTTATTTTAAAGGGAGGCATAATAGATGAACATGGAAAAACCCATCACCAAGGCCATTATACATTTTCTCAAAGAATTTCATGTAATAAAATGGAAAACTAATGATTCATAGAGATAGAGGCATACATCCAAGAGGGAAAACTGTTACTCTCCTAATTCAAATACAGAAAAAGATAAATGCTTCAAATCTGTTTCACAGAGAAAAAATAAAAGCAAATGATTCTGATTACCACTAGTTTGTTAATCTCCAAGATCACCTAGCTTCACTTCCGAAAAGCGACTAAACTCGGGGTGCCGAGACAAAGAAAGAGCCCTTCCTCGGGGCTGAGCGTGCCCCGCAGAGCGACCAGAAGAGGAACTACTGCAAGCCCATAACCCCGTCTGCCCAGCAAACACAGTGTTCTGAGACGGACGTGCGACAGAACGGAAAGTGAGTCAAAAAGGAGGTTACAAGAGTGTCGACTGTGAGACCTCGTGAAGGCGGACTGTCACGCGCTGTCACCACAGGACACGCGTACAAGCCATGCCACTGAACGCGGGGCCTTTCAGACGGACTCAGGGTGCAGGCGCAGAGCGACATTGCCTTTGCAGCTGGAGGAGAGCACAGGCTACCTAGACATAGGGGGGCACTGGCACCCCTGGCTAAGTGGCTTTCCTGGGGAACGAATCCAGAGGGATCCGTGGAGATTTCTAGAATCCTGTTCTCTTGGAAGATAGCAGCAGCAAAGGTGCAATGTCCTCTCTCAGAGTTTACTCTGCGTTCTCTTTCTTGGCACTGTAAATATTCTGCACCGTCTCGTAGACCGACTCCAGGTCCTCCGGGTACCGGAGCTCTAGCTCTGCGTTTGGGATGTAGTGAGTGCCCGTGAACTCTGAGAAATAGCGTCCGACGTCGGGGTGCGAGATTTCTTGAGGCTCCACGTTATATTCCAAGTTTTCTGTTGATAAAGAGGCACATTCTCATTAACAGGGACTTTTCTGCAGTATCTTTTATCCAGAGACCTTCCTAGCAACGGTCTGAGGTGGAAGAAAGAGGATGACATGTTTATGGAACGTGGAAGAGCTGACAGGAAAAAGGCAGCAAGCGGGAGTTGGGGCGGAGCGATGGTGGCCGGGGGCCCCCAGCAGCTCCACACCAAAGAGAAGCACCTTCCTACTCTCGGAGCAGGGGGTCTGGCTCCAGCGGCCTCTCGGGGGCGGGCACACCGGAGATTCACCCGGCCCCTCCGACTTGCTCTAACACAGACCTGCAGACCAGGTGTCCCAGCCAGCTCGTTCTTGCCAGCGGTGCAGCTTCTGAAGCCCCCACGGTATCTGGTGACCAGTCTCGTGCCTGCATCCTTCTTGTCTACTAACGTGAGCCCCCGGCATGGACCCCACTCTCCACCCCAGCAAAGTGCGGAGAGCCCTGTTCTGAAGAAGGTCAGCCGTGCACCTTTTCTCTCTCCCCTCTTTTCCTTCCTCTCTGTGTACACTCAGGAGCAGCTCGGTGCTGGCCAATGCCTAGTGTCCGAGAGCTGGGAGGAGGGCAGGAAGGTCGAAGCCAGGCTACAGTCACGAACCTGTAAGGACAACACAGCGGGCAGTGGCTGCCCAGAACTCTAACCATGGGCCCAAACAAGAAGCACAAGAAGCGCAGACAGAAGGGAAAGAAGCCAAGTGCGGGGGTTGGGGGGTGGGCAGCGGCTCCCAGCTCCCACAGAGGAACATGCGCTGACCTCAGCGCACCCACCCACCTGGGCCCCTAGCCAAACAGGAAAATGGTATTAATTAAAAAAACTTTTTAGAGGAGAAAACAAGGTAGTGAAGTTGGCAACTATGTATTATGAAGGGAAAATAAATCCCACCCTACTAAGCAGTGTTTCTGAGATATTTACTAGACCAAGAATGAGAAAGCTAAGTGTTACAAATGTAACTGAGCAAAATAGTAAACAGGGACTACTTACAAGTCCTGGAAACACCCTGAGGAGTCTTTGACTCCCTTGAAGCTTTTGGAGAAATATGTCTGCTTGTTTAACTTTAAATTTGCAAGCCACCCCAAAATACACGGACACACCCCCAGAAAACTACGGAAACACTCCCCGTGAGTTCCCTGGGGGCAGCTGTCCTGTCCTGGTCCCCTCCGCCCCAGGGAGGAGACCACTGTCAGTGTGAGCGGATCTCTCCTGTCCCTCTACAAACACACAGACATGATCTACATATAACTGCACTCGAAAAAACCAGGTATTGTTTTGTTTTTGTTTGTTTATACAAAACACGCAAGAAGTGTTTACCTGCAACTGGTTTACTTAACTCAAGCTTAGTGTGCCACAGTCCGGGTAGACCCCGACGTACCAGTCCTCGGGCATGGCACTGTTCTGTGGTAACAGGGGACCGCAGGCCCCGTGGGCGAGCGTGTCTTTGGGGGGGGGGGGCTAAGGATGGAACTGCCAGGTCAGGGGAGAAAGACGCTTGAAATTTTCACAATTTAAAAGAGAGCGCGCTAAACCGCCCTCTGAAATGGGTTCCCATCTTACGCTCCCACGGCCCGAGGCAGGGGCCTCGCACACGAGCCAGCACGCGCAGACTGCGCAGACTGAGCGTGCGTGTGGAGGGCGGGGTGCGGACCTGAGCCTGGAGCTGTAAGACAAGTGACAGGGCCAGGAACTAACGCTGGGTGAGGGTGCACAAGCACCTCGCATTCTACGAGGTGCTTCATGCACGGAACGCGTGTGAAAACCAGACGTTCGCCTCCCAGTTGGATCCCCGACCTTCCGACGTGGGCAGCCGACTGAAGTTCAGGGCACCCTGGTTTGCCACAGCACTGAGAGGCCACAGCACCGAGAGGCCACAGCACCGAGGTCGGGGAGGGGAGCTGGGACAGGCAGTGTGCCCCGTAGTGGGGAAATGACCAACAGGCCAGATGCTGCATATCCCTCCTTGGGATTTGGGGTGACCGCTAGCACACTGTTTGGAAAATCCCCTCGATTGTGCAGAATAAGACGATTCGAAGACGTCGTGATGCACGTGGTTCATGATCTACTCTTCGACTCTGGAGAACTGGTAACAAGAGCAGGATTCATTACTGCGTTCTGCCCAGGTTACTAGGGTCATGGAGCCCAAGTCTGAAAATTTGGGTCAAGAAAAAGTTGTAAAACAAAATAATTGAATGCAAGTGAACCCAAAAATGTAAAAAACAATTTAAATAGGTGTTTTAAAAATTTAGCCTCTCAAGGTCTCCCACTGGCTAAATACGGGCTAATTTGGACAAAAAAAAAAATAACTCAGTGATTGTAACACATTGACTAAATAAAAGCATAGGACTCTATGGGAGGAGAGGGGAAGGAGGGCTGGAGGGGAGGGGAAGGGAGGGGAGAGGGAGAGGAAGGAGGCAGCGCTGGGGAGGGGGGGAGGAGGCGGGGAGGGGAGCCCCGGCTCACAGCTCACAGCAGCAGAGGGGTCGCAGCGGTGGAGAAGCGGCCGTCTGCGATCTGCACACAGTAACCCGGGCGAGGAGACTGACAGGTGCGAATGTGAACACAGACGCTAGGACACAGGATGGCTCCACGGGTTTCCCGTTAACCACACAGGGAAGACGGTCCCTTACGGTGAGTCACGATCTTGGCCGAGTGACCCAAACCCGCCTCCCTAGCAGTGGGACGTGGAGCAGCACACAGGGCATCTGAGGATAAGTATTTTGGCCAAACACATGGACCCGATCCACCCACACCTCGCACCGAGCTCCCGGCTTCCAGAGAACACCCAGGTGAACGCACAGTGCGACTGGGCCAGAGAGCTCAGCTTGACAGTCAACAGGGGGACCGCCGTGAAAAAGAGAAAAAAGAGGAGAAAATAACATGAGGAATGAGAACCTGTTTCTGTCTCTGCTCTCCCTGGGAGGGACTGGAGACAGAACCAGGAAGCGCACGTGGGAGCCCTGACTGGTCCTGACTCAAACCAACGCAGACGCACCGTGGAGACCACCAGCGGGAGCCCACGGGTGGGGGGAGGGGGGCGTGAGCATCGGCTCCAGGCGTTCCGTCGGGAACACGGAGCCCCTGGGCGAGCCTGACCGCAGGTGCTGGGGGCTTGGGAGAGGCGGGCGTGGGCCCCGAGAAGAGCCGGGCGCGGAAGTAAGGCTCTCCCTCATACACGAGTGACAGTGGCCGGCTTCTGTGTCAACAGGTACCGAGGCCGCAGAGGAAGGGATGACCGGGGAGCGCCACAGAGCGACAGAGCCCTGAGGGGTGCCACCTGTCAGGCCAGGCCCTTCCAGGGGAGCCTGTGATGGGGCTCCCCTCCATCTCTGCAGCCCCACAGCCCAGCAGCCAGCTGACAGGCGACCAATGCCCAGGAAACCCTGCCCAGGGCCGACGGGGTCTCTGGCCGAAAAAAGTGGACAGCTGCCCTGGGGTGCAACTGGGAAGTTAAGACTTTTCTAAAAGCCTCGGAATTTAAACTTTGAAAAGGCAATGCACTAACATCACTCACGGCCACATCGTCCAATCTCAGATTTTGAGAGTGTGCAACCGACAGCCAGGTGTCAAAGTCAAACCTTCTCACGAAGTCACTGCACTATCGTGACTCCAGACCCGGCCGGCTTATTTAGAACGCAGCCAGAAATGAATTCTTGAGATGACGAAAAGTTCAGGACACATGAGGCCAAATATCAGTTCGCCTACTCTGAAAAGCCCATTTTAAAGTTAACGCAGATGTTTCTAGAAACTCAAGTATCAAATACTGAAAGTCCTGAGAGCCGCCCTGCGTAATGGGGCAGCACGTGCACGAGGTGAGGCCAGGCCCTTTGTCCCCGGGTGCCAGGCCCTTTGTCCCCGGGTGCGCTCCGTGACAGGCGGCGTGAAATGCTCACCGCGGGGTTAGTGGGGGATGCAGGGGGCCCACAGGTCGCTGGGGAACTTTCGAACTGTGTTGATGTTTAGAAACTGTTCGTATGACTTTCCGTCACAGCTTGGAAAGTTAAATAAAACCGCTGTCAGCACCTTGGTCTGACACGAGGCACACGTCAGCCCCCCTTAGAGCCTCGGCGCCACGCTGACAGAGGCCGACGCGACCTGTGGTCTCAGTATAGACAGAACTGCTCTCACTGCCCGTGACCGTCTCTCAGTTTCTGGTGGATTGACCACCGATATGAAACTTCTGAGGCGCTCCCACGTCTAACACTCACACGAGCGCCTGGACTGGAGCGTCGCTCCGACTCGGTCGCACGTGTGTCCGGGCGGCACGAGGCGGCGCAGCAGGACGGCCGTGGACGAGGCTGCGCCAGGCTGCCGGGCTCAGGTGCACACTCTGTGAGTTAGAGCGTCGACCGCCCTGCGTGCCTCAGCTTCCTCGTGGATGGCAGGGGCGATGGAGAAAGCGAGTGTTTTCAAGCGGGGTGAACGGACACTAGAACTCTGCCGGCCACAGAGCAGCATGCTATCAGCATCAGTGTCATTTTACCACTGAGACGAGCGCTGGGACTGCCTCCACAGGCGGGCACGGAATGCATCCGCCCTACTAAGTGGGGGAAGAAAGAAAAGGGGGACACCCGGGCTGCTGGGCTGTCCGGGCCCGCACCACGGACTGCAGTTCCAGAGAAGGCCGCCAGTCTCGGGGGCCAGAGGGTGCTAGGGTGGCTCCCCGCGTAGTGTCCAGTCAGTGCCCTCCAGTTCAAGCAGGCCCTCCTTACCTGGAGGGGGCCAATGGCAGCGCCTGGGAAGCAGGCACTGGGGATTCGATTGGCAAGAGCAATGCCCAATCAGAACAGAGATCACCAGCAGCACCACACCACCTAGCTGTGGTGGTGAAGGGCGGGAGACTTTGAGGACCCTATTTAACCGGTGGCATGGCCGTGCCGCAGCACACCACCCGTGTTTACCGGCTGAATAGCGGCCCTCGGGAGGACAGCCCTGGGAAACTGGCGGCGAGGCCCACGGTGTCTGAGAGCTGAAGGGGACGCGCCAGCGAGAACCAGCCACTTACCCTGGGCTGCGTATCTGCAGGAACCATCCTCCACCAGCACGTTGTAGAAAGGCTGGTGATGGCCGTGGGGCAGGCTGTGGACGTTCATGTTGCGGATCCACTCGTGTCCCATCATGCAGGTGGGGTCCCAGCCGTAGATCACGCAGTTGTAGCCGTACCTGATCAACGCGAGAGCAACGGCCCGTCAGTCCCCCGGGGCCCCGGCCCCTGTGAGGTGTACGGACGGCGGCTCGGCTTCCCTTCAGCTCCCGTTCCTACAGATCTACCTGCTTTTACTCCACGCTGAGTCCTTGTTCAGGACACCCCTGCCCCTCTTTATAAACCCCTCTTACTATCAACCTAGCCCTTCGGTTGGGGAAAAATAAAACTTTCTGACAGCGAGTGATGGGGCAACGGGTTACCAAATGGGAAAGGTACCGAAACCCAGTCCTGACGACGGCACCAAACTGGCCCCCAGCGGTTAACAGAGAGACCCAGGTGTAAAACGGAGAACTTGCGAGCTATCTCCAGGATCCAGGACTCGGGGTGGCGAGCGACTTCTCCAGTGCTGACGAGACGGCCCATGGAGGACGAGACGGGCCGGCGGACAGCACTGAAGGACCCTGGTTCACAGAGACTAGCTACCTACCCAGCTCCCTGTCTGGTAAGGGATCATCCACCTTTTTGTAGTTATGGCAGCGGGATGGGAAATGGACTTTGACCGACAGAGAGGGCCCTTACCTTGGAGAGGCGCACTGTGAAATAGCTACAGGAGAAATGACACCGGGGGCTCCATCGGGAGGAGGAAGGCAAGGGCGGGTGGGGAAGGGGCAGTGAAGACGGACCCTGTCATGGTGGCCACTGGGGCTGACAGGGGAACATCACCTGGTTCGGTATACTCAGCTCTTACTCTCAGACGCTCGACATGTCCATCGCAAATAAAAAACAGAATGCAACACAAGAATGAAAACACGAACCAAAACCTGGAAAGAGGTCTTTGGAACTCATGTGCACACAGAGATTAAGTATGCAGAAAAAGAATGGCTGCAGATCAGAAGCAAAATACTCCCTAGACACTTAACGAACGAAAGGAAACGTGAACGGCTGTAACCCTGTGGAGAGAACCTCCATCTGTGCAGCCACCAGGGAGTGTGGACCAAGGCCACAGGGACACGCCACCCGCCACTTTGTACACAGCGCATTTCCGGAGGCCTGGCGACAGCCCATGCTGGCGAGAGGAGGCACTCTCAGCTCCCAGCCGGCTGGTGGGACATAAATGCGGCCATCCCTTTGGACACAGTTTAATTCTGGACCACATGTGCACCCTGCGACCCCCAACTTAAATTCGGGGAGAGCGAGATGAGCAGAAGAGGTGAAGAACAACAAAGGCAGGAGAGGGCAGTTCCACTTGTGGCCACTGCCATCTTCCCGGTGGACATCTGAAGGCCACTGAAGCATCAGAGGACCCCCCCGCCCCCCGCGTGCCTCGCAGCCAGGAGAGCGAGTCCCTTCCGAAGCACAGAAAGTAAGTTAAAGACGCGGTTCAGCTTGCGGGCCTTCCTGAGCGGGACCGAGGCGGTCGCTGCATGCAGCCGGGTCCCCTTCCAGCACGTCACGGCCGCTGCTCCCCAGCCCTCGGTGTCCTCTTCGGCCACACGTGGGCGGACGCCGTGGGGCACTCACCTCTTGTGTTTCATAATGAGCCCAATGGAGTAGCAGACATCCCTGTGCTTCTCGTGGGAGCGGAGCTTCACCTCCACGCCCACCTCCTCCTTCTTGCGCTCAATGTGCTCTAGGGTGTGTTGCACCAGGTAACCCACCGCCCCGTGCTGCCCGGGGTCCAGGGTCTGAATGTGCTGGAGGATGTCAAGCACCTTCAAGACAAGACAGAAAGACTAGGTGATAATATTTTTAGCAAGGCCTTTTCCTTTTTCCTGCGTTGGGTACAGCCCTACCTAAGCTAGCCTGACGAGGGGCGGCAAGGCCCTGAGGATGCGGCCTCGGTCCTTGAGACCCACGGGACCCTCCCCAGTCAGTGCGCTCACTTCTCACACGGGCATCGGCCCCAGACACCCACACTGGCCTGCGTGAAGGTGAGGGAGCACTAGAAACATGGTGGGCTGGAATCAGCCTGGGTACGGAGCGTCCGCCCCTTGCAGGCGCATGCATCTGGACCGGGGGGACCTTTCAAAGCGTCCTACGCTCTTGGTCAGTGTGGGCTTCCACTTGTTTATGCACAGAGAGGAAACCACTTTCACCTGCCTACACTCCGGAACTGGTTGGAAAAATAAACGCTCAGCCGCTTCCATCAGGAGGATGCCGGACGGAGCTGCCTCAGGGCTCCAGGGGCTGGGCGGGGTCCCAGAGAGGCCCCCGAAAGGACGCTAATTTGTTTCTGATGTTACACTTGAAGGGCGAAGGTGCGGGTAGCAGGGTTCTGAAGTCCCACTGGTCATTTCCCTTATTTCACTCACGATGGCATTTCACACTCAAGCGGGCAAGGAGAACCCACACCCACAAGGGACCTGAATGACTAGCTGGTCGAGGCAGAGGCCGAGCTTGCGTTCTTTCTACTGTGCCCAGGGCCTCCAGGGACAACCCAAATTCGGATGAAGTTAACGCCCGCACGCAGGTGCACACGCACATGCACACACACGCACACACACAACTACAGCCGTTAGCGGAGCGTCTCGGGCACGTTCCTCCCGTGCAGACAGGACCTTCCCTGCTGCTGAGTCCGAAGACACAGCAGCCTGAATCCTGGCTCCAGATCTGTCAGACCTGCGGTCTTCACCTCTGGACTCATTCATTCGCTTCTCGAGTGGCGACTATTCGTAAAGGCCCCGTTTCCTGATACATTACGATCCTGTCCATGTGTCGTGAAAACTACTGTGTGAACACCCCACCTTGCCCTCCAGACTGACTGGCAGGTCTCAGTCTTTCCCGAGCACCTACTTCTCCCCGGTCACTGCGCCAGACCCGCCACTCCACAGAGCCGGCTCACCCTCCCAACCCGAGGTGCGTGCCCAGCCTTCACGGCCAGACGGACGGCCAGAAGGGGAACCGGGCCTGGTGAAGGCAGGCCACGGGCTATGAGGGCCTGGAGTGACCCAGCCCACCGCCATCGGTCCAAAGCGAGAGTAGGGGTAGTTTAACTAACGGTGATGTGAAATATCACACACACACAAACGGGCAGATGGTACGATCTGTTGTACCTCAAACCCCGCTTCAACCACTGTCAGCTGACAGCCAGTCCCTCCCCTCTCCGCCCCAAGAGAACTTTTAACTTGGAGACACTAACAACCTTTATCTTTTGTAGCAAGCAGCACGGGACTTAACAGTAAGCGTCTATTTACTGGGCTTGCGTAATGCGTTCCTCGTGTTCCCCTCTGCAGCTCCAACCAGTTACAGCTGACGAGACTGCTGCGGCTGTGTTCTCGACAAGGGGCCCCTCCCTTCCCAGCAGCCCCTCCCACCAGAGCAGGGAACAGACCTAACTTGGAGTCTTCAGCACACAAAGGAATCCTCCAACTCTGAGCGTCAGAGGGGGAGAGGAGGCTCAGAGGCAACCCCTCCTCCTTCCCCTGATGCGTGGGTGGCAGCTGAAGGGAGGGCAGAAACGGGGATGACCTGATGGTCTGGGCCTGGCATGTGCCCGAAGGCCAGTGCGGACAGCTGGGCACCGTGCGGTGTCCAGACCAGTGTCTGCGCCTCGGATCCGGAGCCTGTGACCCGTGGGGCAGAGGTCCTGAAAGAGGGGGCCTACCACTCACGGCTGGCAAATGCTTTTGTAAAGGCCCAGGGAGGAAGCGTTTCAGGCTTTGTGGGCCACTCGGTCTCTGACTCCACGGCTCCTCTCCGGCTGCTGCAGCTGGCAGGCAGCCAGAGCCCAGTGAGCGGATGGGCGTGGCTGTGTGCAAACAAACTTACATTCGTGAACCAGGCTGCTTCGGGCCACCAGGCCGCGGTGTGCTGGCCTCTCTGTCCCCTAACTGCAGGTTCCCCAGCTCTCTGGGGAGCTCTGGGCCCCACCCTCCCAAGTCCACTGTCTGTGGGCTCTTCCGCTTTTGGGGCTTCCGATACCAGACCCCGATGCTGCGGCCCCTAGATGCTCTAGGGCAGCGGCACGTGGCTCCAGCCCCATCACATCCAACATACCCCCCCGGAACACCCTCCCCCAGCCCGAAACAGGTCTGCTCTCCAAATGCCCACCCTTCCCGTGGCCAGACCCCTGCTGGGGAACCTGGATATCCTCTCTGAGCCTTCTCCCGTATTTACACCTGATGGAGACCAGTCACTCCTCACTCACCCCAATAAAACTCCCGAGCACCTGCCGCGTGGCGGGAACTGGGCTGAGAGCAGGGGGCGGCTGCAGGAAGAGGCGGACTGCCCCTCGCGGAGCAGCTGCGGCACATTCACGGCAGCTCCGTGAGAGGGCAGTGGGCCGGCCCCACGCGAAGGGCCCGGGAAGGGGCTTCAGAGGCAGAAGTGAGCCGGTGGCTGGAGCTGAGAGGCAGGGCAAAGGTCCCAGGCAGGGACACGGCACGTGCCAAGGACGGATGCAAGGAACAGGGATGGAGAGAGGAGATGGCCACGGCAGTAGAGGACACAAGGGGCCACCGTGACGGACGAGAGCGCCGGCGGGGCCGGCCGGCCACCAAGGCCCTAGCAGGCCATACTGCGAGGAGGAGCCTGACCTCCACGACAGCGGGGCCACCCAGAGCGTCCCGGGCAGAGAAGGGGCACAGCTGACATTTTGTTGAGATCCCTCTGGCTGCAGCGTGTAAGACGGGGCCACGGGTCTACGAGCAGAGGAAGGAGACCCCGCAGGAGGCCCGGGCGGTCCTCTGGGAGACAGAGCCCAGGACGCATGTGGAGGGACATCTGGGCCCGCTGGTCCGGAGCCCAGCGTCCAGGCAGGACATCAGAGACCCGGAGCTGTCAGCCTGCAGATGGGGGCTGAAGCACGAAGAGCGGGTGAGATGACCCGGGGGGAGTGCAGCGTGAAAAGAACGCTAGAAACCAGCAAGGGTTCTCTGAGAACCGAGAGCCAGAGCAGAAGGGACAGCGTGTACCGCGGGGCGGGGCGGGGGTGGCCCCCGGTGATCACTGAAGATAAGGAAAACAAGTATCTGCTGGGCTTGGCAACAAAAAGGATGATTTATCAAAAAGGGGTCACTGCTTCCCTGGCAAGCGCAGTTCCTTCCAGGGAGGGGGGGTGGGAACAGACCCCCCCACCTTCTGGGGAGTGCGTGGGAGGCAAGGCAGGGGGCCGGCTGGGCCCGGGTGGCCAGCAAGCACAGTCTGGCTGTGCAGGGGAGGAGGGAGATAAGGAGGCGACCGCGGGGAGGTGCCGCCAGGGCTGTCGTGGGAGTGCTTTCTGTTTTCCCCGAAGAGGAGAGGGACCTGGGTGTGCTCCATGCAGACAGCAGAGAGCAGGACCAGGGAGGTGGAGAGATCATCGAGTACAGGGAAGTTTAGCAATCCCCGAAAATGCAGGGAAGTGGGGCCAGAGCACAACAGGCTTGCCTTGGGAAACTGGGGGACACCCCGTCACCGAAACAGTGTGCACCCCACGGGCTGGAAGGCGCCGTTCCATCAGCGTCGGCGGCTTTAACATCTGGCCGCCCCACACTCTCCCCTTCCGTCCCAGCCACGACCCCTGGAGGACTGCGTGCTGCTCTCCCCAGCTGGATTCCACAGAAAAGGAGTCGAAAACAGGTCACCAACAAGTCGCCCTTCTGGTCTTCCTGGTTTAGGAATGTTTCCCTTTTACCTAACAAGGCCAAGAGGATCCCAAGTCCCCCACAAACTGATCTCACGTCCTGAGGAACGTGTCCCACACACGACACCTACACGCACGTACACACGCACCCGGGTAAGGACCCCGCGGAGCCGACCTCGTCTGCACACGCTGCACTCTCCGCCCTCGCGCCTCGCGCACACCGGCCGGCTCGCTGCAGCAGCGGCAGCCTGCTCTGCTGCCCTCTGAAGTGGCTTCGCCGCCCACCTCGCACCCTCTCTCCGCAGAGGAGCACTTTCTACCCCCGATCCCTCCTCTGGGGAGCTCCGCAGTTTCCCTCCGCCGGCTCGGTGTCGGCTCCCCGGCTGGAGTCTGGGTTTACGAGGGGGAGCCCCGATTCACTGGGGATGAGCCGCCGTTCCCTCCGGGCCGCTGGCTGGGGGAAGCGCCTCTGCCAGTAGCCAACGATCGGTCACCGTGAGGACGGATGTCCTGGGTACCAACAGATGTGGAACTTGTTTTAGGGAGTGGCGTCTGCTGCGCGGGAAGGCAGCCATGCCCTCCCCGAGGACGCCGAGGTGACCGCCCGGAAGCAGCGGGCGAGCACTACGCGGTGGCGTCACTGCGGGGGAAGCCAGAGCTCCTGCAGACGTCCCCCGGGGGAGGGGAGCCCCTCAGCCCTTCCAAGGCTGCCGTGTAGCTGAAGGACAGAGTTAATTTATCCAGAGTCTCGCTTTAAAAGGACATCTGCATTTTACAAGCTACGGTGACATTCCTTACCTAAAGCAAAAAGTGACAGAATTATGCACATCCTAGTGTCACAAATAAATACAATGGCAAAATAAAATGAGACATCAAAGCCTGGACAACAGCACTTCCTTAGGCTCTGGGAGGTGGGCGGTAACTTTGGGGGGAGACTAGACGTCCCCTAATCCTCCGACCGCACCACAAGCCGCACCACGAGCCCTCTGCGCCCTGGGCCACCGATGCCATCTGTTCTGATGGCAGGAGTCTAGAGACCTTCCTGCTGATGGCTCCTTTCTCAGAATTATTTTAGATCTTTGAAGTTGTAACTGAGACAACTTAAACCTCAGCAATGCCAAGAAAGACGCCCCCCACTCAGAGTTCGGTCCTCCCCCTAGACTATTCTGAACAAACAAGATGGAGTGCTACAATGTTTCCCCTGGAAAAGCCAGGCCAAGGGCGCAGCTGCGGCTGCTGCTCTGGGACAGGAGATGGGCCTTGAACCCGGCCACGCCCACAGCCTGCCGGGGACCGCCACAGCCTCTGAGACTGCCACAGCCTCTGAGACTGCTGGCGGCTGGCCACGGGCCGTGAGGAAACAGAAAGCCGTGCGGGACAGTGCCAAACCCTACAGCTTCCCAGAGCCACAGCCGGTCCTGAACTAGTCAGGCAGCTGGACGCGCACAAGTCTAAGATCAACCTCCCTACGTCCAAGGTCCAACAGGGCTGCTCCTACACAGTCAGTGCAGCTGCTGGTGGCACAGCTGGGGGCTGAGCACTGCAGGTCTGCCTCCCCTCGCTCAGTCAGGGTGACTCGGGGGAGACAGCCCTCGGGGCACCAGGAGGCGACTGGCAGGCCAGAGGCCCCACGGTCCTGAACATCGAAGGCACTGACCACAGAGAGAATGGGCAACTCCTGGCAGTAGAACCAGTTTGGTTTTTTTTTTTTTTAAATCACAGTGAAAGGAGACAAACAAATCTTTGAATGATGGGTCAAGACAGGGAGACTTTGAATAGATTTGTGTTTTCCCCACATTAATGTAAAGGTAAGCCTTTACATTAAGTAAAGAGCCGCCTTTCAAGCTACATGTTCCCTCTCTAAAGTAAGTGCAGAGCATCAAAGGCAAATAATTACCTTCTCTGGCCAGATTCCCAGGTGGAAGTAGAGCCTGGCCTGGAGGAGGAGCAGCTGCACCTGGTCCGGGTACATCGCCAGGTACAGGTCCAGCGAGTCTCGCAGGAGCTGGTAGGACTGGTCGATACCTTCCCTGCTGGAAGGAGACGTCACCTTATCTTGTGTGCTTCTGACTGCGGCCTTCTCTCGCAAGGCCCAGGGTTTAGAAATAATTGACACAAATGCCCTGCCTTTTCTGACCCTGGCACTTCCCCTCTCTCAGCAAACAGTTACGGTATGTTCACTAAAAACACAGACACACACACAGGAGATGTAAGTTGTGTGCCCCACTGCAGTGATGGGCTCTAAACTAAAACCACAGGCGTTTTCATGACACAGTCACATCAGTAACACTGTGCGTGATGAAAACTGAGCCCCGCACAGGCGGGGCAGAGGACTCTCAGGGCAGCCGCCGACCCGTGTGACACTGGGACGGCAGACGCAGGTCATCTTGCGTTCACCGAAACCCGCAGGGTGTGCAGAATGCACGCCGCCAAGAGTGAACCCGAGTCAGTGAACGGGGCTCAGGGCAGGGGTGACTGTGACCTGTTAACGCAGGTTCGTCGGCCGTAACAAATGGGCCACTTTGGGGCAGGATGTCCACCTGCGGGAGGCGGCGTGTGCCCGGAAGCAGGAGGCCTACGGGAAACCTCCGTCCTTTCTGCTCAGCTTTGCTGTGAACCCAAAACTGCTCTAAAAATAAAGTCTGTTAAAAAAGAGTTCTGCCACCAGGCAGAAAACTATTGCTATGATGCACAACTTCCTTTTCACTCTCTAAGCCAAATCTCCTTGCACTCAAACGCAAGACAGCGTCACACTTTTGCTTTCTTATCTGAGTGACAGAAAGGCACACACTGAAAGGTGACAAAGCACTTGGACACGAGACCACCCTGCCCCTAAGAGAGGATCTGCGGCAGCCTGAGATCCCCCTGCTACATGGGGAAGCCGTCGGCACGCACAGAGCGCCGGTCCGGTCCGAGCCCCATGCAGACCCTCAGAGGGAACTTGCTGAGCTCGGCTTAAACCTGGGCAGCTTTATGTCACGGGAACCAGTTTTCCCCACGGGTGTGGACAGCTGTGGGTGCCACACCGGTGCCACACCTCCCCGCTGCCTGGCTGCACGACCAGGCGGCCATCAGAAACGTCTCCGTAAGGCGGCCGAGCCTTCCGGGACGCGCACGCCGCCCACGCACTCGAAGGCCGAGAAATCTTACCGCTTGCCCAGGCTCAGGAGGTTCCCCACCATCCGCTGCAGCACCTTCTTCACGTTGACCACCCCGTACAGGGCTGGGGTCACGTGCTGGCCGATAAGGTATTCACACTCCTTCACCGTCAGCTGCCTGCCCTTCCCGAAAGCGTCGATGTAGATGTAGTCGAAGATGTCCAGGTTGGCCCTGGACGAGGAACGCACACGGTCAGTCCAGTCCCAGATCCCGGCTGAGCAAGTCGGTGTTTAACCCCCCATGCTGACAAGTAGCTCACATCACAGACTGAATGTTCACGGGTGGCATTTCCACTCAAAAAACAAGGCCTTGCTCAAAGCTGAAAATCGGATCCTTTAAACACTGATGTTTAAGGTGAAGAGTGTGGGTGGGTTTGTGCCACCTGACACAGGTTTTCAGGGAGAGTCACCCTGGAGTTCACTGCCAGGGACACCCATCGGGCATGCGACAGAGGCCGCGCACAGACCAGCAGCGGCTGACACCTGCGGATCCCAGGCCCCTCAGGGTCCCGGCACCTTGTGCTGGGAGGCTGCTGTCCCTGGTTCTGCTGACACGCAGGGGGTCACACACCTGCTGAGCCCTCCCACGGCCTCAGGCTGGGCCCATGCTCGAGCACAGAGAGCTGTGTCCATGGACTCAAGCCCTCCGCCCGTCCCACGGGGCTGCTCTCCACGAACCGTGCTCTCGTACGTGGCGGCAGCCTGCACTGAGCAGACGGCGGTGGCCGGCACTGCATGCGTGCTCAGTGAGGACGCCCGAGACCTCCAGGTGGGTTTTTGTCTCTGGGAGAGTTGTGCTTTTTCCTGGAGCAACCGTCTCAGATTTCCTCCCTGAGTCACAGTAACAGCACTCCTTGGCAAGACACCTGTTGATGTCCCAGAGACTAGGGACTTCTCTCCAACTCATTTGATGAGTCTCGGAGAACCACACACACGCACAAAGTCATGGGCGAAAATCTGAGCAAACCCAACGCAGCGATGTGTTTAAAAGACCCCATGTGGTTAAGTTAGAGGCACCCTAAGAAGGAAAACGGAGCTGAACGTTAAAAAGTCTATTTCAAGCACATACGGACTGAAAAAGAAAAACCACGCGATCCTATCAGTAGATACAAAAGAAGCGATTTTAGGGAAAAGATCTTCTGCCTAGTTATTCACAAAACCCTTAGCAAAACAGGAATTTAGAGGACAGCTCTGACAATCCAGATGAAAGTCACGGTCCCCAAACACCAGGCGTGAGGTGGAATTTTATTTAAAAGGACTCCATACAGAGTCATCCTCAAGGCAAGGGGCAGGCTACCACTGATGTTTCTACTCACCTGGGCTCGGGAGGGCCAGCCCGCTGAGGCTGGTGAGGACAAGGGGCAGAACAGCTCAGGGGAGAAAGGGAGGAGCGAACGCACCGGCCCCCGTTCAGACACTCTGGCTGTGAGGAGCCGAGAGCGGACGAGCGGTCAGCCCCCATCAGTTACCTGACAAAGGCCCTGCACCTGAACATCACCCACAGCCCTGCACGACGTCACTATTCAGAGAATGCAATTTTAAAAACCAGTTACAACAGCAACAACAAAATCCTAGGTGGGTTATCATACAGGCATTTAAGAATATTTTAGAGATATCTGGGGAAATTGGTTGGGTTGTTCAGGGAGTGGAAATGGGATAGAAAAAAATCTTTTTTCCCATTTAAAATAATAAAAAATGGGTGCCTGCTGTCCAAAAAGAAACCTCTGAGTACGTTTTTTTTAGGAAGAAATTATATCTGGAAAAAAAGGAAGTCTGTACATATTATTTAAGGAAAAATACATATGTAAATATTTGCATGAAAATTATAAGTAATTCCAAACTACCTGGCGGTTACCTCTGGAGAGGAGAGAAGGGATGAGGGGATAAGAAAGAATACCTAGGAAGCTTCAACTATGTATATGTTTCATTTCTTTCTTTTTAAAGATTTTATTTCTTTATTTTAGAGAGGGGAATGGGAGAAAGAAAGAGAAGGAGAGAGAAAGAGAGGGAGAGATACATCAATGTGTGGTTGCCTCTGGAGCAACCCCTATTGAGGACATGGCCCACAACCCAGGCATGTGCCCTGACTGAGAATCGAACTGGCGACCCTTTGGTTCGCAGCCCACACTCAATCCACTGAGCCACACCAGCCAGGACTGTATGTTTCATTTCTAAAAGTAGGAGGGAGAAATACAGAGACTGGTTATACTTATTTTCTCTGTATGAGTCAGAAACTAGTCTACTAGGAGTGTAAAGCACTGGGTCATCTCATTTAATCCTCCAAGTCACTGTATGAAAAATTTTAGTCCCATTTTACAGAAGAAGAAACTGAGGCTCAGACAAAGCCAAGGTTTGAACCCGGCCTGACTTAAAATCTCAGGTGCATCCTGTTAAGGATATCACAACCGGTCATCAGGAAGTAGTTTCCAAGAACAGGATATAACTAAATAACTTCGCTTCTTTTCCCTCTACACGGCACACGTAAGGAGAAGACAGTCTACCTAACGGTGAACTACTTCTTGCAGAAGAGTCAGACCACAGCTGAAAAGCAGCGTTATGCCCAGTAGGACGCTGGGATTAAAAGAGAGGACAGCAGCTCACTAGGCTGGCCCCCACGATGCCTTTCGGGCACCAGCCTCGCCCGAGAGGACCGAGACAGAACACGAGCGTCTGCTCTGCTTTGCAACCTGGCCCATCTGAGCTCTCCCTCTCCTGTGCGGGGGCGGGAGGGGGGGGTTTCATGGAAGATGGGAAAGTAAGAGCTTCTTTAAGAACTCTTTGATCTGATCTGCTTAGGAAAAAAGACTTTGAGATCCACATAAGCCCTGGAACCCCTAGTCCTACTGTTTAAAATTAAACTTCGCACTCTGAGATAACTGTGTATTCATTCGCATGCAGTTCATAAGGAAAAAGACCGAAAAAGCGCCCCTCGCGCACAGCAGATTGTTGACGTGGACACAGTCAAGAAGTGAACCAAGTCCCTCAGCACCCTAGCCGCCTTCTGACCTCTGACCCGTCGTCTCTCCCGGCAGCGTGGTAGGACGGGATTCTCGGGACCTGTCACGACGGGTTGCAGACGGCTCACCTGTCTGTGCTCTGGCACCATCTCAGCAAGAAGTGACTTGGGAAGTTGACAGGTTCCAGAGGGACCCCCAGCTGCCGGGCAATTGTCATGTACACCAGAGACATGCTGATGGGGATCCCAGTTCTGCGGGTCAGAACCTGCGGGAGAAAAAGTGCGTCAGCGCACTAGACGTGAACCACGTGTTCTCATCCCTTCGACACACGTTTGTGTTAGGCGCCCACTGTATATATCAGGCACGGGGCTATGTCCTGAGGCTGAAGTGGAGGAATACTTGTACTTATTTCTTTATTAAATTTATTTTAACTTCTCTTTGAAATTCTCATTCAAAGACATGGCCATTGATTGTGAGAGAGGGGAAGGCGGAGGGGAGACAGAGAGAGAGAGAGAGAGAGAGAAAGAGAGAGAGAGAGAGAGACAGACAGACAGAGAGAGAGACAGACAGACAGACAGAGAGAGAGAGAGACAGACAGACAGAGAGAGAGAAACACTGATCCGTTGCCTCCCATATGCACCCAGACTGGGGAACGAACGTGCAACCCAGGCATGTGCCCTGACCAGGCATCGAACCGGCGACCCTTTGTTTACAGGACAACGACCCAGGCGAGCCCCAGCAGCCAGAGCACACGCTCCTTTGCTGAGACCAGGGCTCTGCAAACTGCAGTCCCTGGGCCAAGTCTGGCCCATCACCTGTTTTCGAACAGCCTGTGTAAGGAGAGTTTTAGCATTTTTCAATGTTTAAAAAACAGAAAAAACACGATTTCACGACCCATGAAAGTGACAGGGAACTAGAATGTCCACGTCTACATGTAGAGTTCCACGGGCACGCAGCCACAGCCACTGTCTCGTGCTGTCGGCTCCCCGCCCCCAGCTGCGACGGCAGAAGGGAGCGGTGAGGACGGGGCACAGGGCCTGAGGCCGAGACGGCCCCCTGTCTGGCCCTCCACAGGCGAAGACTCACGCCCTCCCTCTTCCAGATGGAGTGCAAGCCCGTGTCCAGGGAAGTGGGTAAGAGGCGAGAAAAGAAAAATGGGTGGCAATAGGCAGCAAAGAACTGATGTGAAAAAGGAGCCAAGTAGGACACAAATAGAAGATAAACACCAGTGACGGAGCTGCCCACAGAGGTCCCCCACCCTCCCCACGAGCCGGCGCAGAGAGACTGGACTCGCTTTGCAGCCCAGCGTCCGTGAGACAAACTGACCGAGCCGCGTCACAGAAACACCCCCTCTAGTCGGGAAGCACCCAGCAGTGACGTCCCTGCAGGAGAGGCAAAGGGGAGCTCTATAAGCACCGAGGGATGAAAGAGATGTAGTACTTGCCCCCAGAAACAGCACACTGATCGAGAGATGAGCTGAACTGCGACTTGTTTAACAGACCCACACTTACCTGGTGCATGTACAAGTTCAGGGCATTGTAGTAATCCATTCGGTTCCCCTTGAATTTCAGTTGGTCGTAGAGGACATAGTTCATGGCTTCCAGCACCTGGCCCTGGAGGTCGAGCTCCCTTACCATGGAGGACCGCCCTGAAACAGAAACCTGCTCTGAGGACACTAGCACACACAACGCTGGGACCAGTGTCCCCAACAACCTGCACCATAAGACGCCGGCCAGGCCTTGACAATGTCCCCTGTCGGGTGCTGGGTGTTACCAATCCCCCGTGTGCACAGTCTTTTACGTGACCCGGGCGAGCATGTGGCTGTGTCCTGAACGGCTGCTTCGTGACACGATGGGGACACGCTGCAGAATTTCCCAATGACCAACTACACCAGGAGCCCGTGCACACAGAGCGGGGCAGGGCCGAAGCCGATCCGTACCTGCCCTGAAAGTCAGGCTGGGGTGGCGGCTGTTGAGGCCTCGGAGGGCTTTGCGCACGAGCTCCACGATGCTGTCGAACTGGGCCTGGGTGTCCTTGAGGGTGATTTCAGCCAGGGGGTTGCAGTACTGGTCGATGAACACGGCACCTGAACGCAAACACGAGTTACTGAACAAACCCCTGCTGTCGCCCCTTTCTTCTTCGTTTTCATTTACCCCAGGCGCCTGGGGCCGGAGCTCTGTAAAACAGCCCACCAGATAAGCTTTGGATCTTGGTGTCAGGCCTGGCCACTAAGACGCTGAGAAGGAGCAAGAAGCACTCTCAGAACAAAGGAGCTTCCACGTCACTATGCCTTTTCCTTAGATAAACCAGGCTTCCCACAGAGGTCAGGGACTCGGAAAACTGGGCGATGCATGGCACACTTCACATTCTGTTACAAAGGGAAGTAAGTGCCACAAAGGAGGTCTTTCCGGCTACTCCTCTCTCCGTCTAATTCCCTTCGAGTTTAAAACCCAACAACTCTGAAAACCTAAGGCTGCAGGACAGTCCTTCAACTTAAAAAAAGAAAAGAAAGCTCAAGGCTCTCAACAACAGAGAGGCCATTTCGACAAACTGCCTCTCAAAGGTGAGCCGCGAACAGACTGGGGAGCCCACGGTACTTGCAAACTGGGCGAGCAGCTACACTCAGGGACTCTGCCGCCGGGAAGCTGGGCAGAGTGCACTGGAGACACCGTCTCTCTCAGAATCCCTCTCCTCACGGCCTCGGGCAATGCTTGAACCAGAGGCCGATGGGCTCCCTCGACCATTCGCCTGTAAGACGTTTTGAGCTGGGAAGCCTGAGAGCTGTTTCAAATTCAAGTGGAAGCTCAGAACTGTGACCCCGCCCCCCCAACTCGCACCTCAGGAGCTGGAAGCCGGGGAATGGGGCCCGGACCCCAAGCCCAGTTTTGCCCCCAGCCGGGGTTTGCTCCTGGGCCTTACTGGGACCGGACCTCTACACCTGCACGTGGCAGGAACTTCTGCCATCCCTCAAAGCCCATCCCAGCCTGACACCACCACCCTGACGGCATCAGGGGCGGCAGGTCACCTGGCCAGTTCCAGGGTCCGACCCTGGAGCCTGCTTCCATCCCCTCAACTATCTAAAAACTCCAGTGGCTGCCTAAGGCCTATGGCACTGATGTGGATGGGCGACTTGAAAACAATATTACTTTGTAATTCAAAGAGGAAAAAGAAAGAATCAGTTTCATAGTAAGCTACGGAAAAATAAAGCTTGTCAAATTATTCTTGGCTGGGAAATAAGACAGGATGACTCTCCATCCCAGGATGCCCACGAGAAGATTCCACTGCTGAGGGCATTTTATTTCGATTCGGATGATCTGAGACGTTCACACAGCTGCGAGTCTGCACTGGGCACTGTGGAGGAGACAGCGACCACCGCATAGGACAAGGACACAGGGAAGCCAGTGACCCCCTGGAGAGACGGCCTGCAGAGTGGCCTGCACACCAGGGGCAGAGACAGCGCCCTGGGACTGGGGGGCCGATGCCCGTGTGTGTTCCGAGGAGAGTAAGTGTGCATGGCTGAGCCAGAGAAACTCGATGGCAGTGAGACCTGAACCGAACATCTGGAGGGTGAGAGGGATTTGAGAGAGAATGCGAAGGACAGGGGCACCACGATGAGGGTGTGAGTGAGGTGTGTTTGTGGGGTGCAGGCTGGAGCCCAAGAGTGTGGCACAGGGTGGAGGCCTGCCGACACAGGGCACTGGAAGCAGGCAGAGACCGAGTGCAAGGCAGGACGCAGGCCGGCCGCCCGCGGGCTCACCCAGCGTCGGGAGGGGCCGGTGCGGACTGCACGGCAGGGGAGCGTCGGGGGACTCCAGGGCAGGGGGCCTGCACGGAGCAGCGAGGGGGTGCAGACCACGGAGCGGGGAAACCAACTGGCAGAACCTCGGGCAAGAGGGGATGTATGTATTTCATAAACACAGCTTCTGGGCGTGTCTGGAATATGCTAGGAATTTAAAATCGTGTAGGAAAAAAATAAAGTCACATTTTGTTCCTGTCCCAGTGGGCAGGAGCAGAAAGTGGCTTCCTTCCCTCTCCTCCCCTCTCCTCAGGGCCGGCGGACTCCAGCGTCCGTGCAGGAACACCGTGTCCTCGTCACCCTCCGACCCGAGGCTAAGGGGCCTGCCCCAGGGCACACGGAGCCCCAGGTGCACAACCTGGCTTCTCGTTTGGAAGTGACGCTTCAGAGCTTAGCAAACAGGAAATGACTCCGGTGAGCTAACACACCAGCCTCTCATGCTTTGAACCAATGGTGCATCTTGAGAAACCGGTCTCTGGCCGACAGCTACAGGCTTTGACAACATTTCAGCTCTAACTCGAACAGTCTTGCCCACCGAAATGACCAGACCGTGCACGCCAACCTCCAGAAGCCCGCGCAGCAGAGCTGACCATTCCCCTGCGTGATCGTCAGGATGGTCTGCGCGGCTGCGCTCAGGGGGGCGGCCTAGCTGCCCACTGGAACGGCGCTGCCCAAGCCTCACCTTCGAGATACGATTCATAGTCATCCGAGTGCTGAAGAAAAGTCTTGAGATTGTTTAAGATTTTCTGTTGCCGCAGGTAGTAAAGGATTTTTTTTGCATAGTACTTCCAGGTCAAAGCTTTCCTAGAATAAAAAACAACCAGTAAGTTGGTAAGAATTAAGATACTGAAACTTCCAGTGATTTAATTTTTACGTAACCTCATCATCCCGCATAAAGAGTCTACTTAACCAGACAGCTGTAGCTGGGTCACGATCACACAGTGCTCACTACTACGGGAGCGGGCGTCACACGGGCTTTGCACGTGTAATGTAACACGCCACTAGTCGTGCTGAAATTCCAGAAACAGTTAGTTATCTGGCTTCCGATTTACTAAGAGGAAATGAAAGAGAAACCTGGAAAGTTTCTTAGGAGAAACTGGGAGAACTGGGTGGGCCTCAGGAGAGAGGAGTGGGGTGCCTGGAATCCTCTGCTGCCCACCCCCAGACCCCCAAGGCTGCCGCTGTCCTCCTGCGCTCCAGGCCCAGGCGATCTCGCCCAGTCTCATGGTTTCACACATTATCCCACGACAACCCGAGTCCACTTCCCAGGTGGGATTCCTCCCCTCCTCTCCAGACCCGTACCTCCAACTGGTACTCCACACCCCCGCCTGGGGATCTGGCGGGCCCTTAACTGTCTTGCTCTCCCAGAGTCATCCTCGTCTCCCACGAAGGTAACTCCGTCACCCCGGTTAGGCCCTGAACCTGGGAATCGCCCCCGATTCCCGGCCTTCTCCCGTGGGCCGCACTCAGCGCACCTGCCCGTGCTGTCAGCTCCGTCAGGAACGGGAACCCCGCTCCCTGACTCCTCTAAGCCGCCGCCCTCCCCCACCTGTTTTGGAGTGGCACCCTCCTTCCCGCCCTCCGCCCGCAAACCTCAGCCCTCGGTCTACGCTCCTCCACACAGCAGTGGCGTTCTGGCGAACTCACCGCAGCCGCAGCACAAACACCCCGCACCCCGAGTCCTCCCAGGCTCTCCACTCGCGCCAAGTGAGAGCTCAACGACAACACACAGGGGCCTGCAAACTCTTGCCCCACCGCCCCTCTGGCCTCAGGCACACCCCTACCCCCACTCAGTCTCTGCTGTGCCCTGGGCCAGGCGGGGGGCCCCGAGGCCTCCACTCTCTCCGTTCCTTGACCAGAACATCCTTTCCCTAGAGAATAATTCCCCTTTATCTACTATTTGGTCCCCCAATCACATAATATAAAGGCAGGGTAAATACCAATTTCTTTCACTTTCCACTTTTTAAAATAAAATTCGGGGTTATTGTCCTCCAAAGGGGACAGGTTAGTGGTCAAGCGCTGTGAACTCACGGGGCTGACCCGGTCGCTGCATTTCGGTCCATCCTGGTTGCCACCCTCACCGGCGCCCCCCGAACCGCTCGGACGAGCAGCGCTGCCCTTCCCTTGCTGCCTGGCTCCGGGCTTTCCGGACTCTCCCGGCGCACCGTTGCCATTTCCTGCCTCGGACCTACAACCGGCCATTTCTCCACACCCTCCGGGCGCTGGAGAGGATCATTTCTACCGGGCCCTTTCCTTGTTTCAGACCTTTGTGGTGGACAGGAAAAGCACAGCGCCTGCTTGTGTGCATATAACATGCACATATCCCTACATGTATGTGAATGCACGGTGCCTCGTGTGTTTACAGTCCAACTTCTAATTCAACCACACGACGTTCACCTCCTTCCACTTTACGTCTGTTTCTCTCTTCCAGGCCAAGAACCCTGCTTCTCCAGCCACGTCAGTCCCTTGCACAACCCGAGGGCAAAGGGCACGAATGGCCGAAGGAGCCCAAACCCCATGCATGCCGTAGGCTGGCCCTCCAAACACACGGCTTCCAACTGCGAGCTGACCCTTGAGAGACACGGGTGTGAGCTGTGCAGGTAACTGAGCTGAGAGGGTCCCCTGGAAAAATCTGCGTGTAAGTGGCCTGCGGAGTCCACGCCTGGGTCGTTCAAGGGTCAAGTGTACTTGTTTGCTTTGTTTCCCATCTCTCACACACACACACACACACACACACACACACACGCACACACACCAGCTGCAGAATAACAAGATCGATATTCCCATCGCCTTGATGACTGCTGAAAAATAGCAAATACCCTGCTCCTGCTCTCCCCCGTTCTCGGCTCGGTGTTTTAAACAGCTCGTTACATCCAGTCATCAGGGTTCAGGGCCACCACACACTGCACGGACCACTCTACACACTGCCACTTGGATTTAATGCTACAGGTGAATATGCATGTACTGTCCACCACTGGTTCTCATGTCAATGTCTCTCTGATCATGTGGTTGTTCCAAGTTCATTTCCTAGCCCATTTCTCAGGAAGGGCACAGAAGTTTCCAAGTTCCTGCAAGTTGGTAAGCTTGTCAGCAGCCTTTATATCAGGAAGTCAGTTTGGCTGGATATGAAAATCCTTGAGTACATCAAGTAGGTTTACTTTTTCCCTCTGCCCTGGACATGACTGTTGAAAAGTCTGAGGATATTCTGATTTTTTCCTTCTAAGCGACTTCTCCTTTTTTCACCCCCTGCGTGCCCAAAGGACTTTTCTATCTCAAACGTCCAGTAACCTAGCAGTTTTACCGAAATAGGTCTCAGTGTTGGCCATCCGGGTCAGTTTTTCAGGTTCTGTGTATCCTTCCCATATGTTTAGATCTTTATTGCAGGATGTACTCTATTTAAAGCACACACAGAACCCTGAAAACGAAAACTGTTTTCCAATACCCAACGACTGGTGCTTCAGCATTTACGGAAACCACTCGTCTTCCCTCCTGTGCCTTCTGGAGCCCAACAGCAAGGGTTTGCCAGGGATACACACAAACGAGGTCCCCCGTGAACAGTGGCCAGTGGCATCCCAAAGTACTTATAAACGCGTGACACTGGGTGACACTCTCCCTCGTTACCTAAAAACAACCCTGTTTTAGGCTCAAAATGCACATGCTAGGGCAAGGGGTAACAAATCTATGACGTTTACTTCTAAAAAGATGAAAATAACGTATGTTTTTACTGGCTGTGCCCATTCAGCCCTTTTTTGCCAATCTGATAAGTGAAAAGCAGTATTTCACCATTCTTTGACATTTCTCCGAAGGGTGAATTTAAAGGTCGTTTACGTGATGCCAGCCACTGGGATGTGCTGCTCTTCAGTAAAGGTCATCCTCCCATCCAGTTTCCAATTTCTTCTTGGAAATTTTAAGAACACTATTGACTTTCTGGTTTCTGGGGACATACGGAAACTTATTTTTTTTTATTGCAAAACCATCTGTCCATATTCTTTTATTGCTTTTGCATTATCAGTCTTCGTTAAGGAGGTCTCCCTTGGTGGTACACAAAATCTCCTATTTTCTCAAAGGATTTTCATTGTGATGAAATTAAGGTTGTTTAATCATGGAATTTAGTTTTTGTATTATGATGCAAGTTTTACTTTCTTCCAGATGGAGAATCAGTTATGTCTAATGGTGTTCATTAATTAGTCCATCTTTCGCCTGAGTTTCAAATATACTGTCTTTTATGCTGGGACATGTTCCTAAATCATCCTTTGCCATGGCCATGGCTATCAATTTTTACTTAAACACTGTATTGTTTTCACTACAGTTAGCTTTTAATATATTCTAATATCTACTGATGAAAGTTTCCCATTGTGATTATTTAAAAATTGTTTTTTTTCACCTTAGCTGGTGTAGCTCAGTGGACTGAGCATGGGCTGCAAACCAAAGGGTCGCCGGTTTGATTCCCAGTCAGGGCACATGCCTGGGTTGCAGGCCAGGCCCCCAGTGGGGGCCACATGAGAGGCAACCACACACTGATGTTTCTCTCCCTCTCTCCCTCCCTTCCTCTCTCTAAAAAAATAAATATATAAATTTTTAAAAATTTTGTTTTTTTCTGGCTCTTCTTGTGAATTTATTCTTCTGTGGTAATGTTATCCAATTAAAATGCACACATGCACACACACACACTCTCCCCTCCCAAAATTCCTGTTGGATCGATCCTAACTGAAATGGCAATAGGTTTATGTGTTAGTTTGGGAAGAAATGACATTTTCTGTGATGGTGAGTCTTCTCATTCAATAGCATGGTCTTATTTATGTTTTTCACTAACATTCTGTAGTCTGACCTAGAATACCCTTCCCAGGAACGTTCTACTGATGAGCAAGACACTGCTGGAACGTCACCCTCCGCAGTAACACAGAAATGGAGACAAAAGTGGTGACCCAGCGACAGGGGGACGGTCAAACACACTGTGGTAAACAACGCACAACAGTATGCAGACACTGAAAGAATGAACTGGATTTTCTACCATCTGGTTAGGATTGATTTCAATAAGGTACTGTTGAACAGCAAAAAAGCTACAGGAAAAGTACCTACTGACGGTCATGATTTTGTGAAATAATGACCCCCCTCGGTCCCCATATGTCAACCAGTGCACACGAGCACAGAAGAATACAGCTTGGTGTGCTGCCACGAATTATTGGGGGGGGGGCAGGGCAAACGGGGGAGGGAGAACGGGAGAATAAGACAAAAACAAAGCCTGAACTGAAAAGCACATCAACACCATAAACTCAGTGTGTGTGACATGACATTTATATAGGTAGAAATATATGTGTGTGTGTATGTAAAAAAAAAAACAGCCCAGCTTTTATTTTTAAGGCTGCACAATACTGACTCTTAGATCATACTTCAATTCATTTATAGATAAACCAAAATAGAAGTGGAAAAATGACCCCTGGTTCCGAGCTCATCCAAGGCCTAGAATAGTGGCACAGCTTACCTCTGCCCTACAGCTGTTCCGAGGATGAACACTTCTCTCCCCTGACCCTCCTTAACAACGAGAAAAACATCTCAGCGCCCTGTTTGTGAGGTGTTGCACAACAGTCTCTCTGCAGGGAGATGCTAAACTAGCATTCTTATCTGCCATCGCCAGTAAAGTTTCCAGAGCTTTTAGAGCACTGCATCCTCCTCACAGGTAAGTGGGGCTCCAGCTAAGTCACCTTTCAGGCAAACTGGTAATCCACCCCTCAGAGCAGAAAATGAGTCACAGAAAGGTTTTCAGCAACAACCAAGAGACAATGGTTTCTTCTTGATCAGGAGAGATACAAGACAGGTTCGACCAAATACCTACAATGCTTGTGGCCAAAGTAAGATTACCTCTTCCCTGAACTCAAAAATTGTAAAACATCATCCAATTAAGCAAGACATGCCTGGGAGATTATTTAATAAACATTATTTAGTGCACGAGGGGCAAACGAACGTGGTGGTGGTGGTAGGACATGCGGTCACACGGAGGAAGGGAGTGTATATGACCTAAGTGACGCGACAGGCCCAAGGGTCCGGGGCACAGCACGTGACCCGCACAGCAGGACCGAATGTGTACCGATTCTCTTCCTTCCACAAGCACTCTCGCACGGGTTCTTTACATATCAACTGTCTCGGTGCACTTACCTGATAGGCACGGAATTTTTCAAAAATGTAACACTGGCAACACATGAGATAGTTGTAAACATACGCCCCAAGGTTCGGCCCCACACAAACTGCAGCAGCGAACCCTGGGGTTATTGTGAAAACACACACACACACACACACACACACACACACACAAACACACAAACAAAAACCCCTGCTGCGACAATGGCTTACCTTCCTTCCATGTTCAGGATACACACCAGTTCGTCCTCGAAAAATATCTCCGGGCCCTCAAGATTCTCGATGTCACTGAAACCATTACAAGGGACCTGGGAAGAAGACATGCAAATGGGGCTCAATAACAAGTAATAACGTGGTTATCACTCTCCCACGCAAATCTGGGTTGCCAAGAGGGACGGTTATTTTCACGGAAGGGGTAGCAGCTATCCCATACCACCTTACACAGCTTACCACGGGTGGAAAAAAAACATGCACAGTAATGATAATTTGTTCAGACCTTGTTGGTCGTAAATTAATTTTATTTTCGTAGACTGAAATTTCTGAAATTGGTAACTCAAGAAGTCTAATGTGAAGAAAAATAGCTCTGTGACAAGAACTAGAAATACGAAATTGGCCCTGGCTGGTGTGGCTCAGTGGGTTGTGTGAAGGCCTGCGAACCAAAGGGTCGCTGGTTCAATTCCTACTCAGGGCACATGCCTGGGTTGTAGGCCAGGTCCCCAGTAGGGGGCACGCAAGACGTAACCACACACTGATATTTCTCTCCCTCTTTCTCCCTCCCTTCCCCTTCTCTAAAAGATAAGTAAATAAAATCTAAAAAAAAAGAAATACGAAATTGAGTTCACAATAATTATTTCATGCGATCTATGCTGCACTCAATTAGGAGGGAAGAAGCGGGGAAAGTCTAGTGCTTTGGGCGGCTCGACCCACTGGGTATGTTTTCCCCTCTGTCAGCTGACTGGGGGTACAGTGAGCTTTAAGACCCCTCAGCTGAAAATGTGATTACTTCTCCCACTTTTCTCTTTGAAGGGAGACAGGAAATTGCATGTCAGCCCGCATGTACTCAGCACAGGAACTCAAGGGTCTTGAGTCAAAGTAATCACCCACCCACAGATCAATCTTAAGTACGCGCCCTCAATGTTCAAAGCCCTCTACATATTTCCAATAAGAAGTAGCACAGGGAAAGGGGGAGCTAAGGAAAAAACACAACAATTCGTGATGATCAGACAGAGGCACAGGCTGTTAAAAATGCACACAAAACCAGCTGGACTAGAAGCAGGGGCTGCAAACTAGAAGCTCATGGCCAAGTGCGTCAAACACATCTAGCGCCCGATTACATCTGTGTGCAAATACATGTAAACAGGCACCTAAAACCTGGGATTACGAATGCTTTTGGCCACGGCGTGGCTTGTCCAAAGCGGAACACAAATTTTGTCCATTCTTACATCCATGGTCATTTATTTATAGAAATGAATTACACTAGGGAATATCTAGTTTTATTCCCCATAGGAGAGTAAGTTCGAATGTGTCCAAAGTTCAAAATTTGAACTCTCCCTTTCAAAACCTGAAGTGCCTTGAACACATTTAAAACGCATGAACTCCATTAAGTAGCAGTAATTAAAGTTAGAAACCAGGAACGAAGCTGCAGGAGACTGGGACAGCAGAGTAAATCAGAATGGCTGTATGTCTAGCTGCACCCTCTCCTCCTCGCCCCATCAGAAGTAAATTTAAAATGTTAGTATGGACTATTTTCCAGAGTTACAAAAAGTTTTCAGGACCTGATACAGAAACTTCTGGGAACACTTACTTTGTGGAAGGAAAAACAAACAGCCCGTGCATTTCAGCAATATTTAAAAAAGAACTTTTCAGAGATAGTGAATGCAAAACAATTTACTTGACGGGGTAATGATTCCGATTTACAGATAGCTCTTAATCCTGTTAGTTTAACAAATAACTCAGTTCACTACTGGCTGGAACCTGCAAAGCTGGAGTGAAGAACTGTATCAATTTCACCAACACTTTTGGGAAAACAACTGGGTGAAATGTGCAGTGTTTGATCTTTGATGATTCCCCCAAGTCAGGCAGAGGTGGCACAAAACATGGTCAACCCACTTGTGGAGAAACATGGCTGACCTGGACCCCCTCTGCGTTGTGCGGCGGGTCCCTCCCTCCCCGTCCACCCCCATTCTCTCCCTGGCTTCAGAAAAGTAAAGCTGGCAGGGACAAATGGCTTCATGTTGTTGGAGAGCAGGAAAAGGACACAATGACTCTCGCAGCCGTCTAAATGAGTAAGGGATTGTGATGAGAGCAATTGAAAAGCAAGATAGCAAAAAAGCTGGATGAGCTAATGCCTACAGGGCCATTCTCTTTCTCTCTCTCTCACACACACACACACGCGCACACACACACACACACACACACACACACACCACTGCCAGGCAAACACGTAGAGCTACATGGCCAGATCCTTACGTGCTCGGAAAAGAACCTCTTTGAGAAGGAGGCTACAATCTTCCGGGCTTCCACCCCAGCTTTTTGACGAACTTTATACTCCTCCAGCCAATTGACGTAGTCGGTGGGGCTGTAGTGGTTCATAAGGGAAGGCCACCTACGAGGGAAAAAAACACCCCCTCCGCTTAACAGAGACTCGCAGGCAGGCAGGCAGGCAGACACGAATCAAAGGCAGCCTTGGAAACAGGGAGAGCAGTATAGTTTGGGGGTCAGAAGGGCCCTGCTGATGGACCTAGTTCAATTCCCCCACCTGGCACGCATGCACTCGCTCACGGTGTGACCTTGGCACAGCGATGTGAACGCTGTGTCCCCACTCCCCACCGATGAAATGGGAACAATTGTAGCAATAACGATGGAGAAAACAATGACAGTGAACATTTATGGGGTGCCTCCTAAGAGCTGGGCCCTGTGTAAAACGCTCCTGCCCCATATCTCATTTAATAACCACAAAGGTAGGTCTAATTATCACCAAAGTGGATGAATGAGGCTCCAAAGAGAGAAATCTACCCCAAGGTCATATGGCGAGGATGCCAGGGCCAGAATTCATCCCAGGTCCCAAACCGAGACCCGTGCTCTCAGCCAACAAACCGGGGATGCTGCGCCCGCTTCCCCTAAGGGCTGTCGGGATCCCTGCATCCCCGGATCCATGTAAACATTTTAGCACAGAGTCGGGCACAAAAGAAGCGCGCAGAACGGACTAGCTGTGATACTACCGCCGTCATCCGTGAGCGAGGGCCCCGCTGCTGGGCGCTCCCCGATGCGCAATTCGGGCACCGGAGGGTCCGCGCGGTGTGGACCGAGGGGCCAGCGGCCTGGAGGCCTTTGTCTGCCGGTCCACGGGAAGGGGTCCGGGGGTGGCATCGGAGCTGGGATCGGCGCGCGCGTCCGGGGAGGCAGGCGGCAGCTCAGACTAGCCAGGCCCCGGCCGGGGGTGCGCAAAACGGGACACGAGCGGCCGGGACAGCGGACTCACCTCACCCGGAACTGCTCCTTCCACACCTTCCCGCTACTCTGGCACAGCTCTCGCAGCCTCCGGCAGGTGCTGGCGACCTGCAGGATGTCCGTGGCCGTCAGCGGGCCGCTGCACAGGATGTACTCCAGCAGCTCGCCGGGCAGGCTGACCAGGCAGCCGAGGCCCGCTTCGTCGGGCATGGCCTCGTCCGCCAGAGCCTGCACCACCTCCATCGGGCTGTCGACCGCTGCCTCCGCCATCTTGTCCAAATACCTGGGGTGCTGCGCGCGCGCTCTGGGGAAAAATCCCTTCTCGCCCCGCCCACCTGGCTCAGGGGGTGGGCGGAAGGGTCGCCCCGCCCACGGCCGGCCGCAGCGCAGCCCCGCGTGCCCCGGCTACTGCTGAGAGCGCCCCTCCACGGAGGCCAAGGGGAAAAGACCTGTTTTGGAAAACAACTGGGATGTGGGCCTTGGGGCGGTGAACCGGCAAGAAGATACGTGCCTCGCGCTTCCTGCGCATGAACTCACAGAACCTTCCCAGTAACCCTATGAACTCTTATTCTCCCTCAAGTTATAGATGGGGAAACTGAGGAATAAGGACTTGCTCAGAGTCCCTTGTCCTACCTAGATGTTAATCCAGACTTGCTTTGACTTTTCCTTAACCGTGCTGTAAACCAGTATGCTGGAATCGTAACAAACTTAATATTCTTGCGTGGGTTCTGTGCCAAGCATTTTACTTACGGTCTTCAAGGACCCCTCATTGGAGCCCTCTGTGGTAGAGGTACCTTATTTATAGCCGTTCTACAGTTAAGGAAAACAAAGCTCATAAGGGTGGGCGTCACTGGTTCAAAGTCACCAAGACAAAAAGTGGTAGGCCTGGATTTGAATCCTTCTCTTTTCGCTGCCTGCATCTTTTTTTTAAAAAAAAACAACTCAGGTTCGATGAGTGCTAGACCCAACACTGTGTGCCCTGGAGATACGGAGGTGAGTAAGCCGGTGTCCTTGCCTCTCAGGAGCTCATAGTACAAGGCGTTTCAGTACACAGAGTGCTCAGTGAATTCCCCCTACCTGGAAGTGGAAAATCAGAATGCCCTGAGACAGGGGAACTAGTAAAGTTACTCTCAATGGGTGGTGTTAAGCCATCCATGTCTCTCTATTGCCCTTAGAAATAAACCTGAAACCCCTAACATTGTTGCGAAGGGACAGACCCCTCTGTACCCCTCCAGGCCTGTCTGAAGCCATTCTCCCCTTCCGTCGCCACATGCCGGCCAGGCTGCTCTCTTTCCTCCCACCTGTGTGCTGCTCCCACCCCTGGCCCGAGCTTTATGCCACCACTCTCTCCTTCTAGCTGCTGCTCCTCTTCCTCCGGGCCTCCCTTCCCTCATCCCAGCACCAGGGTCAGACACAGTTCCTTCCCAGCATTTTGCAGTCTTGTAATCGTTCACCGAATTTATGATCGTTTAACCTGTGCCTTTCCCACTAGATCAGAAGTGACTTTGGGATCAGGACCGTCTGGATGTCCTGTTACTTGGCACAGGCCCTGCACACAGCAGATTCTCAGTACTTGTCTGTCACAATCATCTAACCAGTTGTTTGGCTAGAGCGAGTTACTTAGCCGCTCTGAGGCCCAATATCTCACCTATTAAATGGGGATAACAATAATGCTGGCCTCCTGGGAGTGTTGAGAGAATCCAGTGAGTCCACTTATGTAGAACATATTACAGTGCCTGGCAGAGAGAAAGTGCTTGATGAATGTGTTTTGGGGGAATGAGGAGAAGCTGCGTAATGGACACAGGTGTTATCTCAGAGCGATGGAGAGGTATCGGAACTAGGTATTGGAACTAGGCAGAGGTGGTACTTGCAAAACAGAGGAAACCTACTAAATGCCACTGAATCGTTCACTTTAAAAGGCTGCATTTTATGTTATGTGAATTTCATCTCAATACATTTGTTTAAAGATGTGTTGCTGTCTGCACGGGTTGGCTGGGGCCGCCATAACCGAGTGCCACAGGCTCAGTGGCCGAACAGCAAGTTATTTGCTCGAGGTGCTGGAGGCCAGAAGTCTGAGATCAGGGTGTCACCCACTGGGGTTGGGGTTTTGTTCTGGAGCCTCTCTCCTTGGCTTGTAGATGGCTGTCTTCCCCGTGTCTTCACATGGTATTTGTGTGTGTGCGTGTGTGCATGTGTGCACGCATGCCCTTACTTCTGTTAAGGACACCAGACCTTTTGGATGAGGACCCACCCTCACAATCTCATCTGACTTCAAGGATCTCTCTAAAGACCGTCTCCAAATACAGTCACAGAGGGTTGGGGCTTCAGCACAGGAATTGGGGGCCAGTGCTAGCATGGCAGCCGCGACCACAGTCATCAGAACAGAAAGCTTAGAGGAGGCCCTGGAGTATGGAAGGTCTGGGACCGAGTCTGGGCGGGCCTTCGTTGTTGTTTACCCGGTCGGTCGTCTGGAGAGGCTGACTCACCTTGACCCACACGGCCCCGCCCTGTCCCTACAGCTGCTCCTTCTCCGTCTCCTCTGCAGGCTCACCCAGAGGGTAGGTGTTGGGGGACCGGGGGGCACAGTGACAGGCCCCCCTCTTTCACTTTGCTACCCCGGTCCACACTTTGAATGACAATCCAAAGCCAGTTCAAGTGTTCGCATTTCTCTCTTCAGCCTGCTCCTCCGAGACCTGGACTCGCTTAGCCAACCAGTCACCTGACGTCCCCTTTGGGCCCCTGGGATTGAGCTTAGCCGGGACGGGACTCACACCCCCCGCACCCCACTTACGTTGTCCCTCCCCATGGCTTCTGCCTAGGACCAGAACTTGCCGCTATCCTTGGCACCTCACCACACAAATGCCCCCCGCGGGTTAACATCTCAGTGCCTTGGTTTTCTCACCCATGAAAATGAGGATAACAATAGCTCGTCCTATTAGATGGGACAGTATCTATATTATCATGAATGCCTTGTGCTCCACTACCGCACAGACTCTGCTGACTTCTGTCGGGTCCCGCAGGGCCTGGGGAGAGGGCTGGGAGTGTGCCTCACGTGTGCTGGGAAGCATCGGCCACGCCCAAATGCCCAACAGAAGTGGGGTTCCCTGTGCATCGGTATGTGGAACAGGGAAGTTTCTTTTCTGAAAGATCACTCCTAACGTTTCTCACATCTGTATCCTTCTGTGTCTCCTCAGCCCCAGCCCCGGCCCCAGCCCACGTCTGCCCTGGGGTTCCTCTCTGTCCTCCTGGCTTCCACCCTGGCCCTGACCCGAGAGCCTGAAAATCAGCTCCCATGGCCCTGGGACCCGATGGGCAGTTTCCAGCCTGTGACATGGAAGGCAGACCCCTCAGCTGCACGGATGGTTGGTAAGCCGTTCTCACGAGCGACCACTGCTGTCCAATCAGTGACACCCTGGCCCCCGTTTTTCTGTCTTCTGATCAAAGACGATCAAAATGTTGTCGGCAAAGGAACAACGAAGTTTCCTGCCAATCCAGAAACTCCTTGCCACAACTCTACCAGAGGGGGACAGTTTGATTAGTGAACAAGCACTGAGCCACACTGTCATGGACATCCCAGGTACCCTACTCACGAGATGACAGAAGACGGAGGGAAACCCCACCCTCTTCTGTACTCAGCCACGCACTGCGTTACATACACGTGGGCAAGATTAATGGTGACTTGTCCTCATGTAAGAGGACCTAACTGTGCCTAGTTCACCCTAAGCTTATCTGGTAGTTGGGGTGCCCATGGTGCTCCCTGACTGCTTTTGTCTCCGGGGGGTAATAAAGCTAGTCATTGTTATGACAGGCAGGTGTGAAGTGGGGTGGTCAGGCCGCCCTCCCACGTCCGGGGAGATGGGGACACCACCTGCCCCGCAGTGTCATTCCAAGGCCACAGTGCCCACACCCTTAAGGAAAGCATTCCTGGGCCATCACAGTGGCAAGAGGCTTATTATTTTTTCTTTCTTTCTTTTACTTTTTAAAAGATTTCTGAACTGTAGGATATTTGTACGTGGGCTAGCACTCGGCCATGAGAAGGAAGGAGGCTCTGACCCACACTGCAGCCTGGAAGGACCTTGAGAACACGATGCTGGGGGACATAAGCCGGACGGGAAAGGACAGATATTGCGTGAGGCCGGGTAGACGGAATATCTAGATTAGGAAAATTCGGAGAAACAGGCCGTCGTCATAGGTTTCAGAGGTTGGGGGCAAGAGAGGCGGGGAGAGTTCTTGCTTCATGAGGACAGAGTTTCTGCTCAGGAGGATGGAAAGGTTCTGGAAAGAGATCATGCAGACGGTTGCACAACCCTGTGAGTGTCCTCAGTGCCATCAGCTGTGTTCTTTAAAACAGTTTAAGTGGTACATTGTCTGGTATGTCTACTTGACCATCATTTAAAATCACAGCACACACCAAACAGATTTACACACCTCTCAGACACAGGACACACACACACACACACACACACACACACACACAACTGCTCCAGGAAATGTTCTAACAAAGAAAGAAAGGATGGTTGCCTTTCCCCTTTGGCCACAGGGAACACTGTTTTAACATCTCTCTCACAGTACCCTCTTGCTAAATAGGCAACCGTATTCTGCTGAGAGCTGGCCCCCGGCTATCCTGGGACCTGCTAAAATCATCTAGCACAAACCCAAATCCTAGAGAAATCCCCCCCTGGCTGCCTGTGACCCGGCCTCCCCAGTGTCTCTGGGGCCCCTCCTCCTGCAGCAGGAGGCTGAGAACTCATTTCTGTGGACTATCGGTGTATCTCCGCTTATCTTTGGCTGGGGGACATGAACATTCCTCTCCCATGAGATCTCCACCAACTGGCCTGAGAGACCATTTCAACTCCTTTCCACATCTTCAGTGGCTTGCCTTCTTTCTCGCATAAATGCCGAATACACTCCCTTCTCTTCTGGTCCATCTCCCCAGATTCTTCCTCCCACCCGAGGGGCTGGTTAATACACCTGTGTCCTCCTGGAGGGCTGCCTTCCCAGCCCCTTTAGGTCCCAGCTCCGGACCCTGTCTACAGAAATATGTCTGCTGACCACAGGCTTCTGTCTCAGGCCCACCTGGGACCCCCTCCCTTTCACGCAGGACACATTCCCGAGCTGCCCTCCTACGCGCACTGGGTGGCTATGGCGTTCACCCACCAGCATGGGCAGTCTAGGCTTGGTGGGTCCTGCCTGGAGGCCCTAGTTTAGAAAAGCAAGCCCCAGGGGTGAGCTCCTAAGTCAACAGGAGAGCATTTGTGTAGGACGAGAACACAGGGTGC